AGCTTTGGTATGTTGCCCATATGGGTATTAGGTATACACTGAGCAGAAACATGGTTTAAACAGGCTTAAGATAAAACACTAAAACCCCATTATAATAGAAGATAACAGGCCAGAAGAAATACTACCAAACAGAAAATATAATGGTCTAATTTAGCTGAAATATTTTGGATTTCATAGTATTTCAGGTCAGAGGATTCCTGCAAAGAACAAACAACAAACAGATATTAAAAAAAAAACCCAACAACAAAAAAAACCCAGCTCTCGCCAATCTCCCATATATTAGTAGTCCATAGAATAGTCCTGCTGATGCTTTTGTAAGCAGACTTTTTTTGTTGTTAACATTAGAACTACAGTATAATTTTTTCAGTAGCTAATCTTTTACTTAACCTTTCAAAATACACGATTTTTACTGAATAGCTATAAATGTCAGCTACAGCAAGTATCACTACTGTTGGTAATCTTCCTCTTGCATTTCCTCCATCTTAAATCTATCTGAAGTTTTGTTCACATAGCTTTTTTTTTTTCCCCTCTAGTCAATCAAAATTATTTTTATTTCATACAAATTTATAGTGTCATGTTTTTTTGCAATTATTGAAATATTTTGGAAGTTTCCAATCCAAACCAATTGTAGTATTTGGTGTTGTGATGTATTAGTGGAATAAAGTAATTTAAGAACAATGCAGTAACTGGGCTGTCTCATGCAAAGAGTAGTCTTAACAGCAATCTATCTTCCGGTTGTACCCTTTATTAATCTAACACATCTTAACTAATGCAAGCAAATCTAAAATGTTTTTATCCTGATAGCTAATAACAGAGATAAAACAGGAGATCAGAAAGAAAGAAACTGTGCTGAAAGAGAAGACTTCCTTTTTGGTAAATGAAACTCTTAATAATATGGAATATGAAAAGAAAATTTCTTCGGCTGAACGAGAAGCTACCAGCCTCCGAAACGAGTATCAAACTCAGGATACTTACAGAGTTCAGCTGCAGGATGAGGTAAGGATGACAAAACAGTTCGGAAAAACAGACTGAAACTATAACTTTTAACTCTAACTTTTGACTAGATGGAGGAAATACAGGAATGGCATTTGCTTTTCTGTGTTTTTATACTAGACTCTTAATAATTCAACAAAATGTCTGCTCTTCTCAGTCTACTCATGATTATTGGGACCTAAGCCCTCGACTTAATCCTTTCATTGATAGTGGTGAAGGGACTAGCTTGTGTTCTCTGTTGTGTTGGTATAAAATGGATGAATTTTCTCTTAAATGGTGTAATGCTGTTAGATCCTTCAGAAGGAGGCGTGTCTTGCCTTTAACATATATAGACCGCAGAATTGTATAAAGATGAGAGAAATCTCTTCCGGATTCCAAACAATTCCTCTCCTGTGCTCTCAGAAGTCAGTGTTGATGGCCCTTGTAGTCAGGTTAAAATTCTTGAAGAAAAAAAAAAAAACCCAAACACTTTCACATGGCTTTCTAATCAAGAGGCAGTAGGATAGGGCTGCTTGATGCTGTCCATACTTACTCTGTTACTTATATTTAATCTGCACTTAAAGCTAGGAATGAGCTGCACTGCTTAATTACTTAAATGCCTGTAGAAGTATTTCTAAGAGGTAATTGAAGTCTTATGGCCCTGTTGAGAAGGGATACGCTTGTATTACCTGAGTAAGTTTTCTCTTAACAAGAAAATGGTAACACTGGGGTACTTGGCAAACTTGGTGATTTAAAAAAACCCCAAACCTCCATCTGCTGTTGTCTTAACTTTGGATAGCTTTTCTGTAGCAGGTGTTTCATAAACTGATATCCTAATTAAACTGTAGGGAGTTCAGACAAGATGTAGGCTATTAGATTACCCTATAATCCATGCAAACTTGAGGGTTCACAAAATTGGTAGATTTTCATCTCTAAGCTGTGAGATTCTTGCTCGATATTTTTCACAATTAATACTACATAATGTGATAATGAGAACGGTCTCCCATTATTAGGTGTTAGAACATCTGTGGCATGCAAGTGAGAAACAAGGAAAGAAACGGACTTACAGTTCAAATGCAACTTGTGACCTCCCAGTTTCTCATTCTGGTACAGAGAGAAACCCGCTATATATACACCCTTGATCAGGTTTCTTCATCTGTGAAAGTGATGACAATTACACTTACACTGTTAAGTGATACTGTGAAGACTAATGAGATACTGATTTTAAAGTATTCCTATCCTGTTTAATGACTGTATGCTGTCATGTATTTTTTACCAAATTAAATGTCTGTGTATTTTTGTCATAGCGTTCCCTTATCTTAATCAAAATAATTTTATGTACCCAACAAAGTTTGAATGAGAAATATTTAGTAGATACATAAGGGTATCCGTGTTCACAAAGAACCTCATCAAAGTCAGCTGTGCTCCATAAAACCATGGTTCCACTTATACAGATGCTGTTGGACAAGAATTACAGCCCACAGCACCTTCATAATTCATTCTGTATTCTTGTATTTTGTCCGAGTATTCAGATTATGTAGTCTGCTGAGTTTACTAGCTGTTCCCAATTACAGCACCTCAGAAATTGCAGCGCTTCTCACTTGTAAAACACTGTTAAAAAGAAACGGAATACCTTCCAATAAATAGGTCCCTTCCTTACTTTTGTACATGTTAGGATATTTAAAATTGTAAGAGCTCAGTTGCTCCATTTTGTAATTTATTAGCTGGATGCTTTGAAATCCATTGTGGACAGAACTGCTTCTGATCTAGAGTCTTTGAGGACACAAGTAACCAATCTGAAGAAAGAAATTCAGAAAAAACAAGCCAGGTAAGAAACAGACCTTTAAAAATATAATTTGTAAGTATTAGTAATATAATCAAATCCTTGAGCTGGCAAAGAACCTTAAATAAAGTTGATGATTGAAGCCTCCAACTTTCTGGTTACTTCATGTCCTGCATAGTTTCTGGCACTGGGCAATTTAGGAAATACTCCTGGTAATCCTTGGTTTTAAAGGGCGTGAAAAAATCAGTTAGGGCCTTGGTTATCATAGGTTGAAGTTTAGCCTGCTTTATTAGGCAACTGCTCAATAAGGTATGCTGCTTGGTTTTGGTGGTGTTGTATATGCAACATACATTTAACTTGTAAATCATGTAATTTGGTTTAGATTAAGCTTTCTTAAAGAAAAAAATGCAAGTCTTTCCCATAAGCTGAAGCTTGTGACTGAGGAGACACTCAGTTCAGAAGACAATGCTTTGAGGATGGAAGAAATACTAAAGGAAGAAGAAAAAATTGTCAAGGTAAAATGTTTTTCATGGTTTCTGCAAATGAGGATTCATTTGAATTTGCAAGCTCTATCTAGAACAAACATTTATGGATTAAAATGAAATGTAATTATTAATATGACATGTAGCTGTTTCATCAAGCGAAGTAACGTGCATGTAGATACATCAGTACCTGTGCTGGGAAAACTCTGGAGGAAAGTAAGTGGTCCTAGTAATTCAGAAGATGGTGTCCCCATATATTAACATAGGATACTGGAACTGTTGTTGTACAGATCGGATATAAAACCAGTATTCTGACTGTATCAGTGTACTGAACAGGGCATTTACCTCAGACATCAGCTAAAAGCTACTTACAACTTCTTGGCTAGATTGAAATAAAAGTTATTTACCAGAATGTGGCAAAATTTACTAAAAAGATACAGTACTGTTTTGCTTCTGCTTTGTGACAATACTGAAAAATTTCAAAATCTTCTATTTTGCTTAGCTCTTTTGGGAGTTTATGTCTCTAAACATTCTGGTTTATGGGCTGCTGAGGAGCAAGGGTTCTTGAACTTCTATCAGTTTCCCATCAATAAGGTTGCTAAAGAGTGAGAAGCTTGTCAGGATGACTTTTCAGTAACTTTACCACTGAAAACTTTCTGGCTTTAGTAAAACACCACCAAAACTTATAAACCTGCAAAGAGCTACGATTTTGGCAAACTGGGATTAAAAAATATTTTGAAATCTTTTAATCAGATTTGGCTGGCCTAGTCTCCTCTTCATTATTTTAATTCTACTACATGATACTCTGACACATCTAACTTGTTGTGGACTATTAAATAATCACTGGCTCACTTTAGGTTTCATATTCATGATGAATAAAGATTTTGATCTGGGAACTGGCATGTACAAGCTGTAATACGGTGACTATTTTTTTAACATGTTTAATAATTTTTTTTTTTTTAAATTCAAAACCCACTTCTTACACTGCAAATTAACTATCGGAATAAAAATACCCTAATTCATTATCATCTGGTAAACTGCAAAGGGCTTTTGAATAAATGCAATGTTGTAATGCAATCATCTGAACTTTCCTGCATTTCAGAAAATGTTTCTACTGTTTTGTCATTTTGCTACTAATTCTCCTAAATTATTTTACTACTTAGCTTCTGACTGAACTTGATACTTTTTTTTTTTTTTTTTAACATTTTACTGGATAATTGAGTATTGGATATGCTGAGGCTTTCTTTACAGTAAAATGGCCAGGTTAAAGTAATGTGACAGCAGGTGTTCCCACACAAGTGACAACAAAGCTGTATCTGTGCATACCAGTGTATAATCTTTTTACTTTTTTTTTCCCCTTCCCCTCCCTATTTTGTGTTTCCTGTAGCACGTATGTGAAATAATCCTTTGCGGTACGTTGAGTGTTATTTTTTGAACTTCTTAGCTCCACAGGCATTAACTGTACATTTTAAATATACATACAGAAACTAGAGAGGGGATGTCTTTCCTTTATAAAGAGTTTCTTAAGTTACAGGCCTTACTTACTGTTTTGGTTTTTCAGATAATTTGAAAACAAGTTGTAATGATACAACATTTCATTAAAATGAAAACCTTATTTGCTTTCCCTTAAGACTGTTACCAGGGTGGCTAAACCATTACCAGGGTTTCTTTATTTGCATTTGCGGCGGATAACCTAAGGTGACATTGAGCTTGGCAGCTCCACAGCTTTAGGGTAGTATTTTAACTAGGATGAACTGTTCTTGAACAATGTCTGTAATGTATTAGTCAGAAGCATGCTTTCCATCACCATTAGACACACATGGCTATTTGCTGCATCTATTAATTTACTGTGAAGAGATATTTACAGGAACAATGTGGATGAAATGTCACCATTTTGCGCTTTAGTTCTGTGATACTTCTCCCTCTTCAATCTGTGGCAAAACACTGTTGCACAGTGAAGCTTATTGAACATCTTATCTTTATTAACAACCTCACTTAAAGGGAAACAATTTCTATTAAATAAATTAATTTAGATATGCAAAAAAGACTATGAAATGAAGGTCAAATCATGATCCAGTTTTGGTAGACAAATTCATCATTCTCATTAGCTTCAGAAATACAGCTCAGAATTGGGCACATGCATAAAACCAGTTTACTTCTGAAATTGAATTCCTTTTTTCAGACATGATCCAAAGCCCACTGACATCAGTGTAAAATGCTACAGGCTGTAATGATTTAATATTAAACTTACACCTGCTTTTTACTTCCTGAGTTTTGGATTTAGAATTGCACCTACAGCAAGTTCAACGACAAAAAATTTTTGTTTGGTAGAATGTAATTGTGAACTCTTAAGAGAAGGAGTTAAGTTATCTTTCACCAGTATTAAAGCCAGCAAGATGGTTTACAAGCAAATTTCACAATATATACATGTAAAGTCAAGAATAAGTACATTTTTAATCAATGTAGAAAACTGAATCCTAAGGTGTTTTGCTATATTAATTTAAATGTGCATCTTCAAAGTCTGCACCAGACTTCCTAAATGTAAATGAGTCTTTTGGAACAGGATTGTGATGCCACATCACTCATTTTAGAGATGTACCTTACAGGAACCTAGCATGCTGAACGCCCTGAGCTTTGGAAGGTCTTTGGTTATTTGGGTGGGGGAGTGGAAGAAGGGAGGGAAAGAATAAAGTTTTCTTCCTTGTTAAGGTTATAAAAAGAAAATAATCTCTGTTTTGTTTGTTTTCAGTACATTTCAGGTTACTTGAAATGTTCAGCATTGCCTTACCATAACAGACCCCACTAAAACCTCATTTCCTGCACTGATTTGTGTGTTAATAGCAACTTACCTCTGAGAATAAGGAACTGATTTTAAAACGTGTAATTAATTTTTCAAAGAAAATTATTCCAACTTACATAAACACATATATGTACATACATGTGCATACACACAGAGTTACAAATTTTAATAAACCATTGAAAAGCTTGGTGTTTATATTTGTCCAAATATTCACATATACTGGAATCAATAAGGAGGGATTTTTTGAAAGGATAACAGGAATTTAGTTTTCTGAAAAGCTGAAAAGAACAGCATTCCCATAATGGGGAAAAAAAGGCCCTGTAATAGTAGGGTAGGACCCAAGTTAAAAAAAAAAAAAAAAAATTAAAAATCACTTTCTCTTTAAGTCAAAGACTTTTCTTGCCAACCATTTTGGAGACCTATGAAATTCTGTGTTCATATTAATGGATATAGTATTGAAATTTTTTAATCTTTGTATATATGATTAATAAAGGCAAATAATTTCTCAGAAATTTCTTCTTATGTAATTGTTTCTTCCTACTTAATGATTAATTTGTCACCAGGAAAAAGAAACAGAAATGAACCAGTTAAAAGAACTACTTTTCAAGAAGACTCAAGAGTTAAAGGCGCAGAAGGATAAGGAGAAGTGTGTTCTAGCAGAAATTGAGGGAAGTCGAACATCACTTAAAAATCTTAAGAGCAGACTGCACAGACTTGATGCAGATGCATTAAAACAACAAGAACTAATGTATAACCAGGTAAAATACTAACATACTTTCGTACTATGATTGTTTCTTGGGTCTAATGAGAGTAAACTGCTTGAGTTCTGTAATCTTTGTCAACATCTTACCATTTTGGAAATGCCATGCAGTATAATTTGAAGTCTGCATTTATTTCTGTTTCTAGATGTATGGATAAAATTCAAATAACTGAAACTTGCTATAGTATTACCTACATTATGCACTTGTGTATTTCATTATTTTTTTGATCTGCTGCTTTTCCCACTCATTTCTCAAATCAGTTCTTTACTTTGATCCCTCTGAAACACAGACACCTCAGGGTAAATTTTTAAAGCAATACAAGAGGTACATGCCAAAATCCTGTTACTTACTAATTGGATTTTGTGCATATTTCCTATGCACCACTTTGAAAATCTGCTCTTTTCCATCAGCATCCACTGGTAGCAGCAAGATGGGAACTCCACTGTAAGCGTCCCTACAGCAGACTGTGCTGAGTATGCTTTGTTCCTCTTCTAGAATATTACTCCTGAACCATCACTACACATCAGTCATCTAAGAATATTTTGCTAATGAGGTCTATAAGTGTCCTGGTTTTGGCTGGGATAGAGTTAGTTTTCTTCCTAGTAGCAGGCATAGTGCTGTGTTTTGGATTTAGTAGGAGAAGAATGCTGATAACACCCTGATGTTTTTAGTTGTTGCTAAGTACTGTTTATGCTAGTCAAGGACTTTTCAGCTTCCCATGCTCTGCCAGGTGCACAAGAAACTGGGAGGGGGCACAGCCAGAATAGTTGATCCAAACTGACCCAAGGGCTATTCCATACCCTGTGACGTCATACTCAGTATAGAAACTGGGGGGGGGTTGGCTGGGGAGCAGCGATCGCTGCTTGGGAACTGGCTGGGTATCAGTCGGCGGGTGGTGAGCAATTGCACTGTGCATCACTTGCTTTGTATATTACTATTATTATTATCATTATTGTATTGTTGTTATTATCATTACTATTTTACTTTATTTCAATTATTAAACTGTTCTTATCTCAACCCAGGAGTGTTTCTCACTCTTACTCCTCCAATTCTCTCCCCCATCCCATCGGGGTAGGGGGAGTGAGCGAGCGGCTGCGTGGTGCTCAGTTGCTGGCTGGGGCTAAACCATGACAATAAGCCATAAATTATTATAAAACAATAGCTTAATTGGGTGACTGTCCTAAAGCCAATGTTTAGATCCAAGTTTACATCCAGTGTTTTAGCTTTATAGGAAGGCTATAATTTCTTATCTCAGACTACCAATTCTCTCAAAAATTATTTTAACAGGATTTTTATATTCAGCAAGTACAGAGGCGGCTGTCACGGTTAGAAGGAGAGGTTGATGCAGATGAAAAACAAGTATTGGAAGCAAAAGTTGCTGAACTTAAGAAAACCTTAGAAGAAAAGAAAAATGTATATGATGTTTTACAAACGCAGCACAAGAAACTTCAGGTAACTTCCTTAGAACATCAGGTTGACTGTGCAACATCTAGAAACTTCAGTGAATTAAGTAGATTGGGTCTTATTAATTAATAACTTTATTAGTATTAGATTAAAAGATGATATCTAAACTTTGTGTAACCTGTGTGGAGAATTTCATACGGTCCCTATACCTTCCAGAGAAATAGGTCATTACTGCACAACTGAGGCACCTTAGCTGCAAGGCAAGCATTGAAACGTTGGAAAGGCAAGCTTAGCTTTCATGTCAAGATGTGACTGACAACTTGCAAATGTCTGAATTTATTGTTAGGACCATGTAGAAACAGGAGAACGTTACTCAGTGATGCTACTACTTGGTTTTGTATTTTTCATAAAACTGTAAGCACAGTTGCCTTTAAAATTGTATGAAGTAAAATTACTGAATTGAAAGTACAGAATTTGAGTTAGTTGACCACATCCTGATATGTAATTCAGAAATACTATTTTTCTGTCTTTATTCCCATGTGAAAATTTGGCATACACATGCTTGTTCTCTGGTCTTCTGCTACCCAGCAACCATTATTCTCTAAAAAATGCACTTACTTACTTTTCTTGTAGGTATGAACCAGTCAGTTATTCTGCAGCCAATGTAATACACAACTACATTTCTTATAAAAAGAAATTATAATTAGCTATGTTTTAGCATGTTTTGAAACCTCTTTTCAAAGAGAAACCATACGAAGGCAAAAGTCAGGTTTTTAATAAAACATCACAACTGGTTTATCAAAGTGATAGTTTCAAAAAAATTTGATTAATTTAGTGAGGGGAAGAAACTGCTTCTAGAAGAGTCCTTTAACTGGAGATCCATGCAATAACAAGGTTTAATGTTGGGCAACTGGTACCCACACTTCAGTTTTGAGGAGATGCAAAATTTGAGCAGTGAGTATAATCAAACATTGAAACACACTTCCAGGAACTTACTCATACTCTGGAGTATTACCAAAGACAGATGATTTTATGAAGATGAACTACGAATATCAAAGTCACGGTCAGACACACCAGGAGCTTTTTTTATCTAGACCAAAATACATTATTATATTAGGACTGCCTTATTGGCCTAAAGATCTATATTGTATAAATAACAATTACCACCCTCCAAATAAAACAAGCAATGACATTAACATTGCAACAGCACTCTGCATGAGGACTGCAATGCTCTAGGCGCTGTTTGCAAAGCAGCATATGGACACAAGAAGATGGTGGTTCCTGGTTCCAGGACTTAAAAATATCTCATTTAATTTTAACTGGTAGCTTTTGGTGCAAACTACTTTCACTGGAATAAATTAAACATAACTTTATTTGGAAACAGAGTGATGTACACTTCATCAAGAGAGCAATGGATAAGACAGGAGAAGAAACAAGTGGTATGATGATCAAGATAAATGAACTAAATCTGTTCAATGAGAGATCAGATCAGGAGTTAAAAAAAGCTAAAGCCATTAAGCAGGTACAGTATTATTTTGCAACTTCTAATACAGGACACATTTGTTTGTTTTTTAAAACACATAAACTCATGACTTGTTCTCAAGGTTCTTGTCTGCCTCCCACAGTGCTACATCATTATATCCATAAGAACCCCCTTTGCAGCTTCTTGACTTACACCTTCCTTCCCAAACTTTGAAGTCACTTTCATCACTGTTATATTCCTGGGTGAAGTGTTGCTTCTCTCGTGTATACAGCATAAAGTTTCTTTGGGTAATCAATTTAATCACACATTACTTACACCACAATATCCACCTGGTCAGTGTTTTTTTTTCTGAGACATTACTGCCTTTAAAATAGAAAATGTATTTACTGTCCAAGGATATCTTTACCTAGTACTGAATTTTTATTCTCAATCTGTGATGCCAACTACTGAGTCTGGCTCAGTTTTGTTATTAAATTGTGGGACTTTTTCCAGCATATGGTGTGGCTCTATCCACATTCCAATTTGAGGTATTAGAAACAAAGTGGAAGTCTTTCTCTCCATATTTTGAAAAAACAGAAAAAACCCCAGTTCCCAGTCCTCTAATTACTGCACGTTTTTTTTTCCTGCAATAAGCTCTAGCCTTCCTAAAAGAAGCACTAAGGTAGCAGAACAATACAGGGTCTAAGTAGCCTGGGGAAGTTTTGCTATCAACTTAACTGGTGCACTTGCTCCTCAGTGAAAACTCTCCCTAACCTGGCACTTTTCTTTGGGGATGGAATTCAGGGGAACAAAAGAAAGAAGCTGATGGCATAAAAGAACTTGGAGAAGAAATGGTACAGAGTTTGGCATCCATAAGAGGGTTTGGTTTTTGGTTGTGGGGGGTTTTTTTTGTGGGTTTTTTTTTTTTTTTTTTTTAAGTGATTCAAAGTGTTTGCATGCTAACAAAGTTCACCACTTGCTGCTTTTCAGGAGTTCTGGTATATATAAATTTGTTCATATAACAACATGACCTGTAGACCTACAGAATCTAGAACATATTCCAAGACAGTTATAATGGTTCAAGTGAGATATTAACTGCTTCAGAAAGTTTCTTGGAATGTCATAACTCAGTCTGAATTAGAAAGTCTGAATTTGTATAAAACCATTCAGGAAACAGTCTACCCTTATCAAACTCACCATGTAAACTGTTAGCAAATGAGAAATTGAGAACATTTTTAAGGGTAAAGCAAAGTGAGTCTTACCATTGTGTATATATAAAAGATAAAATAATGGATGCTTTACAAAAAAATTATTAACTTATTCACTGTTATAAATATCTTAATTAAAAATGATGCTTTCTTATTTTGAGACCTTTTTGGCATTTATTAGGACATGATGGTCGAAGATAATCTCTTAAAACTAGAACTGAACCGTCTTCAAGATACTCTGTGTAATAAGACAGAGAAAGTTCTAACACTGGAAAAACAAAAATTGGAGTTAAAGAAAGCCATAGCAGAAAGAACTGAGGAAATCAAGATTCATAAGGCAATGCTGGATTCCCAGATACGACTTGTGGATCAGGAACGGCAACGCGTAAGGTAACTATTCTTACATAAATTAAAGTCGTAGCTTTTATTTTATATATTTTACATGGGGACTTGCTGAAAAAGAGAAGCATTTTACCCAATTTCACCAGTTGGAGAAACTGAGGATGAACTAAATCTTGCTCAAAGTTATATGCTGAAACAGTTGAGGCTAGCAAGAGATCCCTTCTCTGAAATCCAGCCTACGGCTTTAACCACTTGGTGAACAAGAGATTTCTGTTTTTTCTGTTAGTGATGATCCTCTACAGTACTGACAGGAAACCTCAGTTGCAGACATCTTTTTAAAGTAAATGTCATATGCATTTTTCAGAACAATCAGGAAATGTGAAATCAGTGTGTGCAGAGGTATGACAAAATATTTAAAACAGAAGAGTTGCTTTTAAAGAGGGTTTACTCCCAACTGCTTGATAAAACTGTGATTTCTTTGACTTGTACAGTAAGGCTGTTTGGTTTAGGTTTTTTTTTGTCTTTTTAACAAATGAGCTCTCCATTATGTGTCCTACATAACAAAATTAAATCTTCTGAATTATGTATGTACCCTCTTATTAAGTAACCGTATATGAAATAACTTTCACCTTCTGTAGTAATCAGTGCAAAGTATCTGGGACAGTTTTAGCTCTGAAGTCCCAGTATCTACATCCAGCCAAAAATCAATGCTTCAGCAGCTCAGCTGCTGAAATCTGGCAGGCTTTTTATTCACTCCTCTGCTAACCACACCCCACACAATAGGAAATTAGAGTGATTTAGTGTGACTAAAGCTTAACTGCTCACCGAGAGTGCAGACTGTGTGGCTTTTTTCCTTTGATAATTACACAGCTAATTGATACTTCCATGTAATTTGATTTGGGGTTGTTGCCTACTGTTGCTTATGCTCAGCTAGTAGTGGCAACATTAAGATAAAATCAGCAGGAGGCAGCTTCTGCAGCTGTAGGATTTAAATGCCAGACCTTTAAAAATTTTGGGGAAAGACTGTGGCACAGCCTCCCAGGATGTTGTGATCTGGAATATGAAAATAAATTTAATTCAGTTTAGAAGTGCAAGAGAAGTGTAGGTAACCAGAAGAACGGATGGCTGTGGCTGGGAGAACACAGAAAGCAACAAAACCCAGTAACGGCACAACTGCTGCCCTGCCTGTCTCCCAGTACAGGGGCAGACTGCTGGAATAACACCAGTTATTTAAACCGCTAGAACAAGCACTGCCCACAAAACGCTACCAGACAAACACTTTCTCAACCCATTTATTTTTTTCCTCAAAATAAATCAGTGCTGAATTTCAAGATCGCCTAAATAAAATTGATAAACTGAGATGCAGATACGAAATTCTTACTGTTGTCATGATGCCACCTGAAGGAGAAGAGGAGAAAACTCATACCTACTATGTAATTAAGGTATTTTATTAACATAATTCATTATAATTCAAGTATTTAAGCTATAGATTTCCCTGGGCTTTATTTGAGTAACTAAGACAACCTCCTTGCCTCCTGCTTACTTTCAGTCTAATTGTTTTACATTATCTGCCACCGTTGGTTATTTAAATGATACAGCAATTTCACATGAATCTCTGTGGTCAGTCCTAACGTCAGTGGAACCTTAATTTTAAGCAGTTTGAAAAATTTCACTTCAGTGTTCATTAATTTACAAAGTCACAAGAAGTACTGGTCATGTGGTTATCTGCTATAAACTGAAAACAAGTTTATCGTAGTCTCATGATCTTAAATTCTTCTACCCTTCAGAGTTCTTTTTAGGTATTTATTTCAGCATATCGTGTTTAAACCTTGAAGAATGCCCACTCTCCCCTTTTACTTATTGATCACCTGTGCATACTTCAGCTTTTCATTGGCGGGGGGTGGTGGTAGAAAAAAATCACATCTTTATCCATAATGCAATACCCTGATTCTGGAACAAAAAATCTACTATTTTTGATCTCCACAAATTCTCTGATTTCCCCTTAAAGCAAAATGCTTCTAGCTGTGACCTTGGCTCTCAAGTCCATCTTTTTCTCATTCTTAAGCATTAAATTTCTTAATGATGGTATTTCTGCTACTGTGAGATTCAGCAGAAGACCCTCAGTAAAACCCTTGTGGTGACTGTGGGTATGTTCCCTCTACAACTGTGAAGATTTTGCACTGTATTAGATTTTTCTGACAGACTATAGAAAATACATCCCTCCACCAGCTGGGCTGTGTTTCTTAAATCTCACTGATCAAATGAATGAAGACTTTCAAGTGAGTAATTCCCAGGCAAACTGGATGACTTTCAACACTCCCTCAGTAGTTTTAGATAATGTACAATCTCAACTCTTACTTGGATTTTTGTGGGTCAAGGAAACAGCTGTGAAGTGTGTGCTGCAGTTCACATCAGCAGTGCAAAGCACGGAAACTGCTTTGTACACAGCATGGATACCGCTGATCAGGACTTTGTGAGCCTAGGTGGAAAGGCAGATACCTATAATGAGATGCACATGGATGCAATACCTTGAAGAACTTCCAATACTGTAAATAACTACTCCCTCCAGTTACCTAGTAACTCAAATCTCAGTTCAAGCCTGACAACTCAGATAAAATCCTAGGTAGCTATAGGGCTTAAGCCCTAAATATTGCAGGTATTTTTTCTGTATAATTGTCCTAATATTTTCAGTAGGCATACAGTTACCTAAAATATGAGTTTTATTTTCAGGCTGCACAGGAAAAGGAAACACTTCAACGTGAAGGTGATGATTTAGATGCAAAGATCTGCAAAGCTGAAAAAGAAATTGTAGCTCTGGAAAACACTTTGTGTGTACTAAATAACTGCAACAGCAATTACCGAAACTCTTTCAAGGAAGTCACCGAGACAAGTATGTAAAATAGAAATTGCTGTGTGAGTTATGGATGATTGTAAAACTCAGGTATATAGTGGGGAAATTCCATGGCACAAAAGAATGAATCACAGAGAGACACTAAACCAATAGTAGCAAAACAAGAGTGTAATTCACATGCTACTGTGAATAGTTCAGCAGAATAAGCACAGAAGAAAGTTCAGTAAGGTATAATTAACAAATATTTACATTCTTACATCTGATTTATGTGAAAATCTCTAAACCTACATAAATTTTGCAACTAGTCATAAGTAGGAGCATTCAGAAGAGGCAAAGCATAAATATGATCACTGGGGGGAAAAAGTCATTTCTGGGAGAAAGGAGTGCCCACTGAAGTACATAGGTCTAGTGGATTAAATTTTGCACAGTACAAAAAGCACCACTGTCTCTGTAGTGCTGTGTCACAGAGCTACCAATTCAAATTACAGAAGCAGCACGAGCTGTGCCGCTGCTGGCTGCCTTGTGGTAGACTGAGCCAGCTGGGGCACAAAACTGTACCCAGAGCAACTGTACAGGCAGCTTGGGTACACATCCTCTGGCGACAAAGGCTGATCCCTTAGCTGCACCATCATCATCTCTGATTTTCACATGTGGAAAAAAAAGTAGTAGTAATATGTCATCTGGGAAAATGATGAGGAAGAGTAAAACTTAAACTCCACTATTTTAGTGCAGTGTCAGCAGGTTTTAAAATATGGCCTACCTAACTACAAATTTTGGATATTGGAAATTCCTCGGAATTCTGGAAAATATCTTCATCTGTTCTTTCTGTTGCCACTTAGACTTCATAAGCTTGCGCTCTCCTTCAGTGGAACTTCCTTTGTTTAGCTTATTAAAAGCATCATCATGAGAAATTACATAAACTTAATTCTAGCAAATATTTTATTATTTAACTTTTGTGCCCTCTGCTGGCTCTGGAAACAGTACCTCTTAAATCATTCTCTCACATGAAGCCAGTTACTTTTTCACAGTGATTTGGACAAGGAGAGTATTTAAAACAAACAAACAAACAAACAAAAAACCTTAAACCTCAACATCTCTGTAATACTCCTAACACTAACATAGTAATACTCTGTAAAATAAGTTGCACTTTAAAGTAACTTCATCGAAGTGAAAATTGAGTTGTATACACTACTTGTCCAGCATTAATGCTGCCTCATTGTTCGGGATCACAGGTGAGGAGTATGAGGAAAAATTGAAACTAGAGGAGGAGAAAAGGGCTGCTGATGAAAAATACAGATACAAACGAAGACAGATCAAGGAACTTCAGGAAAATCTTCAGGTAAAATACAAGCAAAAGTTCTGGTCAAACAGACAAGGCTGTAGCATGTAGCTAAATCCACGCAAGCCATCCTAATGAAAGAACAGAAAATTTGGGGACAAATTTTTGCCTGTTCTTTCCAATCCCATGCATTGTATGAATGGATGTGATTTTTTAGAAGGCTCTACCTCTCCTTTAGAAAATTGAGTGCTTATTTGAATTTTCTTGAATCACAGTGAAACTTCAGGCTCTTTAGTCACATACAGCTAGAAGTTTCACAATCTCAGATGCACACTGACAGAGGCTCTGTTCTCACAGCCAAGAAAGCAGTTGTATTTTTGTACACTATATTGTATCATCCTGTCCAGTACTGCAGAAATTAAAATCCACACATCTTGTGTCCTCTGGCATCAAGGTCCCAGGATTTTTCTAGGAGAACATATTCTGTCTTATTAGCATTTGGGGTGCTGCAGTTTTAACAGTATTAGTTTAGCTAAAGAAAGCTAGCTGAGCAGTAAATGCAGGTAAAGCATAGCTTGTGTTCAGGCTCCACATCAAGGACTTACTCTTGGTTCCCCTTGTTATCAAAAAGTCCACTTGGCCCTTAAGAAAGAAGAGCACTTAACTCTCATGTTTGACATTTTAGTTAAAATTTTCTTAGGCAGAAGAAATCAAAGGCACCCTGTTATATCCCACATGATATTCTAAGTCCTGAGCCACTGGCTATAGGTCAACAAATATTCCTAATTGCTTATTCTACCACCATAGGACATATACCTTACTTAAGAAATAAAATCTCTGAAGTTAAAGAAGGACACATATCTTCAGCAGGGAGTAAGTCCTAGTATATAATGAGGTGTTAAGGCATAGCCTTTGCTTGCCTTTTTATTTATTCAAAAACAGAGCCACCCTTATGGCACTGGTTTTATTCATTCCAGTTAAGGGTGTCCATCTCTTCCCAGAGGAAACAATGTTATTTTTCTTCAGACAGCTTGCACTGATAAATTGGTACCGTACCCAGTAAATCATCTGTAGACACTGCTCAGAGGCACAGCTGAAAACACATACTTGTAACTTCATTAATAGTCCCTTTAAAGTAATTTTTTTAAAGATATGTAAATTACCTGGTGGTCTCTTTATCCAGGTATTTATCCACGAAACAGTCTGACAGGCAGAAAATTTTGAGTTGTGTTATCATTAGTACTAATTGCTTGAGCTACATTTAGAAACAAGTACTAGCGATAACAGACCCTCCCATAAAGCAATACAAAAAGTGAAAGGATATCAGAACAGCTTTATACACTAAAACTGCTGTTCAAATGCATTTGCAGAACATGGAAAAAAATTTTGATACAGTACTGAAGCAGGAGGCCCTCTTCCAAGAGCACAAGAAGGAAAAACAAGCTCTTATTTTGCAGCTGAACAAAGACATAGAAGAACAGAAGCCAAAACTAGAAAGGGTTATAAAACAGGTCTGTATATTCATTAATGACAACTTCTAACTTTATAATGATAGACAGTAGAATCATAGTTGGAAAAGACCTTTAAGATCATCCAGTCCAACCATT